ATTTAATATATAGTATTCCTGAACAACTGGCCATAGCCTTGTGTCAGATCTATGTTTAAAAAGCTTGATTCATTGTTGTTCATTACAATGAAGTTAACTTCTAATAATACCATAACGTAATAATACATTCTTTTAGTTAAAGCCTTGAGATTGTCAATCATGAAGAAATCCACCGGCTACGCTTAAACAAGAATTGCACTAGTATTTTAGTGGTTGCGTATCCATTAATCCAATTGAGCGGTAGTCATTACGAAATCCACGGTTTGACGGACAAAAGCAACAAGTAATTTATTTCTAGGATAATTACTATATTGCACAAATTTATTTATTAAAATTTGTATCTTAAGTGATGTGTCAAAATCTCATGTATTGAATATTTTGTGAAATTAGTGGATCCTACTAATCCAACTACTTACATTGATTTGAGGTATAAAATTTGATAAATAATTTAATGAGCATACTATTACTATTATTCCTATTGTGTGTCTATGGAAAATTTTGAAGGTTCTTGTCGCCCTAATACCACATGTAAAAATTTTATTTAATTAATGGGATTAATTAAATCCTAATTCCAAGATCTAAAATAATTATGATATTTGCATATCAATTATGCAAAATTAAAAACATTTTGTTCGACATACATGTAGTTATAATAGCAATTTTTTAATTACTTTATAATTGATTCAAGAACTCTTTTGATGTAACTCAAAAATCAAATTTTATCTCATGACTTTTATTCTTACAATACACAATTTGATGGGATATATATACACGTATAGATAGAGAAAGATGACCGGTTCTCAAGTTCAACATAAACTCTACTTTATATCAAAAGTAGAACATCAAAAAATCACTTTGTCTCATTGATCAATCAAAAACTATTAATTACTTGATTAGTTTACGATTAATAATCTTATCATTATTTAACCCTAACTAATTATCCAATATCAATCAATAAAATTACATATGTCAAATCACGTGAATCATGTTAATTTTTACAACAATACCTATTTTCTACTACTACGAGAGAGTCTCATATCAATAAAAATCATTACCAAATATTAAATAAAATTTTAATTGAGTATGTTTAATCATTAAATTGATGAAAATTGTTGTTGAAATCCTTTTTCTCGAGGGTAAGTACAAAAACTAAACGGATGCAGCGTAATTAAGAAACTACGAAATAAATTTGAAATATTTGGAAAATAATGAGGTGAAAGTATAATTTATCATAACATCAACGATGATGCTCCAGTGACCTCAGGTATACGTCAGATCGATGTAGCCAAAGAAGAGGGCTGCTCGAGGCAATGCAACATTCCAGGCCCAAAAGTACACGTGTAAGACTGCGGGCCCAGGATGTGTATAATGATTGTGACATCTGGGCCACATCAAGTGGGTCCCACTCAACAACTGTACGATATAATTACATCTGACACTCACATGCTATTATGGCAGCAAACCTAGATCAATATTTTTCCTCATAATTTTCTGTAAAGACTTTTTTTTTGTTTGGGTGTAATTCTTTATTATTTTTTGGTGCAAAGGTAAGGCAATTGTGCTAAGTTGACGTTGAAGACCTTGAGCTGATATGAGGCCATTGATGGGAAAACAATGCCGGGCCAGACCATGCACAATGCTTGTCTGAGTTTGGGCTTGATAGTGTACATCTCTTCTGCATGAGGTAGCCCAAGCCCAAAATTTTTTTTTACTTGAAGAAAAGTGGAACTTCCCTGTGGCCCAATTTATTCTAAAGGTCACAAAAGTTTTTAGGTTTTTTTGGGTGTGGATATAATATTTTAGACTTATTTGAGCAAAAGTATATGGATAAGTTATTTATTCTATTAAGTACAATTTTTATAAAAATTTTGTGTTTAGGTACAAAATTCAAGATGAATTAAAATATTTTTTACTTAAACACCATTCCTTAATTTATGCAGTCATTATTGACAGTCATTTGAGAAAACAAATATGTGAAAATTAACAATAATAATGGGAGGTAAAATAAGAGTTTACATAAAGCGCGAGAGAGTAAAAGCAGAGATATTTCGTGCTAAAAAATGAAGATGAAGGAGTATGGATACAAAATATAAGTGCTAAAAAATGAAGATGAAGGAGTATGGATACAAAATATAAGTGATATATATACTAGTTATAACCCATGTCTGAAGGCAAGATAAAATATAAAATTCAAGCGTCCAAAAAATCGATCTCATTATATTAATTTTTTTCAAAATATATTAACTACAAATTAATCAAATATTAAATGATTAAATATATGATAGAAATGAGTGATGTGATATTTTTAGGAAAAAAATATGTAAATGATTAAACATGTGATATAAATAAGTGATGCGATTTGACGTTTGAATCTGACAAAAGGATGATGGGTGAAGTAAGTGATTGATGATGGTTTTGAGGGGGAAAATATGACTGGGACAAAATTCAAACATACTCCTGTTTTATTATATATATATATATAATATTATATGTGTGTGTGTGTATAAAATATAAAGTGAAACAAACTGTATACAAATATATTCCATGTTATGACCAAAAGGAATAATGTCTTTTACTATGATGATTAATCAAATTCTTAAGTTTTCCCAAAAAAAAAAAAGAGAATCAATCAAGATATTTTGTTAGATATTATGTATTGTTCGTTGTTGGGATGTAGGAAAAAAGGAACTTCTTTGTTTTTTTTAATGGGTATAACTGTTTTCTAATGCATGTAACTATTTTTATAATAGGTGTAACTATTTTTTAATTGGTGTAAATATTTTTTTAATAGGTGTAACTATTTTTTTAATGGGTGTAACAATTACAGTCTCAATGTAATCGTTAACGCATGATGGTGTAATGATATCGCAATACTAAATAGTGCAACTATTTAGTTTATATAAACAACTGAATGACAAATTGAGTTGATGTCATAATTTTGTGTAACTGTTTGATTTATTAGAACACATGAATAACTGTTTAGTGTATTATATGACAATTATAACTGATTGATATAACTGATTAGTGTAATTATGTTGTTATAATATTAATATAAATAGTGTAAGAGAAATAGAGAAAGGGAGAGAAATATTGTTAGAAAAAATATGCCCCTATTTTACCTCCCATTATTTGATTGTAGCAAAAAAAAGGGAAATAATACAAAAGAATTTCCATCTATATGCTGTTTACCAATGGCAATAGTGACATTTTTAAAAAATATGCACTTTATGTCAAATAAGTTTTGGACTTATACTTTTGCCCAAATAAGTCTAAAAAATTGTATTGACTTCTAAATTTCCCAACTTTTTATGTTAAGAAAGGTGGAACTTCTCTGTGGCACAATTTCGTCCAAGGGCCCAATTTTTTTCAACTGAGCCTTTGTTTATCCCTTAAGCCCAACCCATTAAGCATTCTTGTCAGCGTAATTAGAGTAAATTTATAATATAAAACAAGACACATTTCAATAAGTCCATCTAATAGTTTCAAATAGATTCATTCAATGGCCACCGACATCCCTCTCAAAATCATTTACATTGTATTGTATCTTCATGCACAAGTTACCCTTAATATTTAATGGAACGGTTACAATACGTTATTATTGTTATATATTGTCATCGATCAATAATAAATAAATAAGTAAAACAAATGAATCCCATTAATCACATATAATAGTTATTGGATATGAAAATTATTAGTGATTACATAATTTGTGGGATTCATTGGTCTTATATATTTATTCAAAATTAGCTAATAACAGTAAGTGGTTGTAATAATGTGATGTCATTGTTACGTTAAATATTTTCTCCATAAATTGGCCACAACCTCATGCGTCGTGGTTTCCTTCAAAATCTTATATTCAATTTAGGATAAAATCAACAAAAATTTATTTTTATCTCAATAGTTTCCTATTATCATTTAAAACAAATGGACATAATTTCTAAGCAATAATTTTTTGACATCAGGCCAGGCATTTGACTTCATCGTAGCAACCTAGTAGAGAGTTCATGTCAAGGGAGAGGCTTTGGTACCGCTTAGAGGAATAATGGTACCATATCGAAAAGCTGGTGGGGCCTTGTTGGAGGAAAAGACAATGAGAAAAAGAATAGCATAAAAAGGCAATCGGCTAAAAAGGTGCATTGCAAGTTGAAAGTATATTGTGATCGATCATAATTTAAAATGATCGGTCAATATTTTCAGATAAGTTACAACAAGATGGATGAAAGTGGGAGCTTGCTGGGGAGAACAGTAGGTATAATTAGAATCAATCATATTCGTAAATATGTTCGATTTCAGAAGAAGTTTGATCAAACAAGTGTGATGAATAAGAGATTGTTTTAAAATGATCAATCATAATTGAAAATAATCGATCATAAATATGATCGATTGATATTTTCAGATGACTTACAACAAGATAGATGAAGGTGGGGACTTGCTGTGGTAACAATAGGTATAACTATGATCTATCAGTATAATTACGATCGATCTATGCGTAAATATTTTGATTTCAGAAGTAGTTTGATCGAACAGGTAAATTGTGATGGATAAGAGATTGTTTTGTGATCGATCTAATAATGGTAGATTGATCACAAAATATTTTGATAATTTACTTCCAAAAAAAAAATAATAATATTAACCCTTATTTTATGGATTGTGAAAGATCCATAAAATTATGATTGATCAACATAAATTGTTTAATAAAAATACCTTAAATTCGATTCAAATAAAAGATAGGAAATTACAAAAAAATACCTCTAGTGGCAGAGGGGCATAAGAAATTAGATGTTGGTTATTTTTGTCATTTTTCACCTTAAGTGCTATCGGTACACATTGCAGATGTATTCCCCCTGCCATTACTGAGTTCTCCCAAACCCTAACCCCCTTACTTGAACAAGTTACGAACAATACATTCCCCCCCAATTGATTGTAAAACATATGAGTTCTTTGTACATCCAATCAAAGAGGTTGTAATCCCTATCCCCCAACTTTTTGTATAGATCGACATGGTCGGAGGAACAGATGGAGCGAAAATGAAGAGGAAGGCAGTGAATGGCATGAATAAGAAAGTCGTTACTGCCCAAAAGAAGAAGGATGGTGAAACAGGTAAGTGTTCGAAAGGTTACACTGGTTTCTTGAAGGAAGATGCGAAAAAATTGTTTGAAACTTGTTTTTGTCATCGTCCATTGTTAGTGGAACGAGGCATTGCACTGGCTGAGTTAGGTAATATGGAGTGTCCTATGTTTTTTCGAGGTCGTAATTGGGACAACATCTTTGATGTTAAGAAGGATGATAAGGCAAATTACAACGTAGTTATATTATTTTATGCAAATTTACATGACTTTAATAAGGTTGGGCACACTTTGAAGTCTCTAGTTAGGGGTAAAGAAATAGAATTTTCCCCTTATTTTATTTCAAAAATTTTGAAAGTTTCCAGGGCTGCCATCACTAAGAATACCACTATATTTCCTTATAAAAGCAAAGAGGAAGTCCCTAGCATGGAAATGGTTATTGAGACAATTTGTGATGTTGCAATCAATTGGGTGGATGAAAATAGTAAACTATATCAAAAAGACCTTCTTTGCCTTATAGGATGTTAAACATAATAGTTGCTTGCAACATTGATTCCAAGGGACATTCAACTGAACTTGAATATGATAGAGCTCAACTTCTATATGCGATTGGTAAAAAAGGCATGCATTGACCTTTCCCACTACATATTACAGCTGATTCTTAATGCTTTTGAGTTGCAGGATAGCAGGAAAAGTCTTTCCTTTCCTATTTTGATTACAATATTGTGAAGTTTTATGAGGTTATGATTGAACTTGGTGAATCATATAGTGCTGCCATGGGTATAATAAACAAGGGTCCTATGAATAAAAGTGTCGGTCATGTTGTAGAAATGTGGCAAGACGACTTCACAGTTGTCTTTCTCCAAAATTGAGGCCATTACTATGATAGAGTGCAAGGGTTCAAGTGATAGTCCAAACAACATGAATACTATTGGAGAAAAGCTGGAGCAAATACTAACTAGGCAAAATTCTCTGGCCACACAATTTCATGCATTTTAGGAATGCGCGAAGGGATCTTTGGAAAAGCTGGAGAGCAAGATTGACAGGTTTGACAAGGAATTTAAAGAGTGCAGAAAGAAGTTATGTTGATGGGTTTTGTCTTGAAGAAATTTCTATGAATTGACATGTGTATATGCGTGTAAATCTTTTGGGCCATATTAGAGTTGGTGACCTTATAACCTATAAAATGTTATCAATTTTGTTGAACAGAATGTTTTGGGAATGGTATAAAATATTTTGTTTTTATAGTGTTGTTAAAAGTAGTATTTTGTAATTCATTTTTTTCAGCACATTATGTTCCAACAAAGCAATGGCCTTTGTATAGAGCAATCGTTCCTCCCTCTCACCCATCTCTGTTTCCCCCCTAAAATTCCATATACTTCCCTTTTGTTTGACTACCAACTGAACATAAGTGAAATTGTGCACAATACTTGATAGTTCAACAATAGAGCAGCGTATAGGGGAAGAAGAAAGCAGCAACATACTGCTCAGTTGGATAGGCAACCATGCAGAGGATAAACATGTAAATGAGATTCGTCATTTATGTAGGTGAATCCCACCTGGTTCGTGTGGTGATCCAGCAATTATAGAAGCTTGTCCAAAATGATAAGCATACATGAAACTTGTCCAAAATGATTTGCGTATATGAAAGTTGTCTAAAATGAGTTGCATACATGAAACTTGTCCAAAAGTAAGCATTTTACCCTGTATAGAAAAATTTTGAATAGTTTAGTCAATTTATTCACGTATGGTATGCAAATTTTCCAGCGACATGAAAATGCTAACCTTGACAACCCTTAAAGTGGAGTGAAGAATTGTCCATGACCATTTCTATTACTATCATGAAAACCATCCTGAATAGTCAATATATCGATAAACTATGTGTTAGGAAATGGTGCATTGCTTGATAACTTATAAAACATCAAATAAAAGGGGAAATTTGTGATATATAGATGTTTTTGAACTCCACCCATGTTTACCTACACTTGTGAAAGGTTCAAACGGTTCCTGTGTTGGCAATGGTTGCTGGGATCCACGTAGTTATGAAAATGGCATACCTTCATATGGATCAATAGTCTGGGCAGTCAACAAAGGACATTTACAAATATTATGCTCGGTCGCCCTCCACTTGCTACATCTTCGAGACATAAATGGATTATTATTCCGAGTACGGCCTGGATGTCCCTTTGTTGTAACAATATGTGGGTCAGCTACGCCAAACTTATTTAACTCAGTAGTCCTACTTTTATGTTGTGTAGAGGTTTCATCTCCTCTACCAAGGGATTCGTGATTGGTCTTCATCTAAGAGGTTAATCCATGCAATGTACTTCTTAGGTCCTGAGTTGCTTTGTATCCATGTGAAGCATAGTAACACATATGACTACACATAACCATTAGTCTAGCATACTGTGTCAAAATTTTCACTGTTTACTTCTGTGCGGCACATTGTCATTTCCTAAATCTCCTTTTGCAAAAATAGTCCAACACGTCAGGATGAGACTCAGAGGGAACCTTTTAATATGCTCATATTTGAGTACTATTATGATGTAGCAGCATGGAATACCAATAGATTCCAGTTTTAAGCAATTTTACTTCATACTACAATATTGAGGATAACATATGACATTCCATGTTGATTCTGTTTGCATGTAATGAGACAAGTAGTAACTCTAATAGATCTCGTTGTCAATTTTCTAGACTATAAAGAATAGGGATTTGGACTTCAACTTATTGCGCACTTTTAAGAACAATTTTCTTGTATATATGGATGTTGCATGCTCTTCAAGACACCGCAATTGTGTGTTTGTCAGTGGGGATGTGTGTTCGGTTCTATGGTCATCATTTAATTCATTCCCCCTGATCCTTGCCAAAGCCCGATGGTATGTCCTCACAAACTCAAAGAGTCAGAGAAGGGTCTTCGAAAAACAATTGAAGAATGAGTTCATAACCTCACATCATTGTGTACTTTTTATGCCCACAAAGAATTTACCTCTTAAATATGCTTCCGCCCACTTTGACCATTTGGAATAAACCTTTGCTATCCAATTATTGTTCTCCAATCCAAATGACTCCATCAAGGGTTTCCATCGATCCTCAAATTCTTCCGGACTACGGCGATGACACATACAATATTTAAATTGTTGAACAAAATTTTCAGTACTAATATTTGACAACGCATTTCTTGTTAAATGCCACCTGCATAATCTATGAGTTGCATTGGGGAAAATATGCTATATTGCTCTAACCATGGCCTTATCACCATCGATAACAATTGAAATAGGCGTCTTACCCTCCATGGCATGAAGAAATGTATACAATACCCACATGTATGTCACAATAGTCTCATGTGAGACCAACACACACCCAAAAATGGATGTCGTGTTATGGTTGTTCACACCTGCAAGTATAACAACAGATTTTTTTATAGGCATTAGTTCGATATGTGGTATCAAATACCAAGACATCGCCGAAGCATACATATTCAAGTCATGAGGATAAGTCTGCCCAACAATTTAGTAAATTATCTTCATGGACATTGTAGTTGAAATAGAACATAGGGTCTGATTCTTTTTTTCCACTAAAGTAGTTTAATGCCCCCTCTGTGTCACCATCTTGAAGTTGTGATCGACGTTCTGTTGCAACATCATTGTGCAAATCTTTCATGGTAAATCCAACATTATGATAATCTCCTACTTGTTGCACCAAAAAAATACCTGACTTGACTTGTATGTATGCCAACATTACGCAATGCATTTGCTTGTTCTCCATCGGGACTCTTCACACACCTATGCGATCGAAGGAATGGCACACCACGTGGTGTAACCAATTGGTGATTATATTCCTGGACGAAGTCCTTTACAACCCAATGTTCAGATCCATTCCCATACTTGACACAAAATGTTGCGTTATATCCCACCCTTGTTAAGCCTTCTGGTTCCCGGATGCGGTCACTACACTCAATGTGTTTGGTTGCTCAAAAACCTTCTCTTGAACAAATCCACCATCTTGACATTGGAATTTTATTTTTATTACACTTCAAGTCATCCTTCTGAACACTAAATCCAAAAAAAATTTCATAATTGTTGTAAAACTCCCCAACTCCTTTATGTGTGTTAAACATCACCTGCATTACCTCACGCATTATCAACTCATCGACTCTATTTTCCTTGACACCATGATTAGAAATTATTTGATCATTTTGCATATGAATCTCGTACTCATCAACATTAAGATCTAGTAGTACACCTTTACCTTTGTCCGATCGTACCCGCCATTACTACACCTATCTAATTACAAAAATATACTAAGTTATAAAATGGTTGCTAATTTTTAGACATGATTGATCCAATAATGCAAGATAAATGTTGATTGACTCAATAAACTACTGCATATATTATCAATTACTTGGTTTAGGGTGACACAATGATCCATTGTAACTATAGAATATCATCATATTATTATACAGAATAGGCATAACAAAAATTACTTGAATAATTTATAAATTAACAAAATATACCACAAATATAGTACGCATATTTTACAAAAGGTTTGGAACCTAATTAAAACGATGTATGGTTGTAGATCAATTGAATCCAATTTGCATCATTGTTGCACTTGTTGTATAAAGAACATGCGTATGTTGACTTCCTACAAAAATTTTCAAATGTACTGTAAAGAAAATGGTTGGGTAGTTGGGATATGTACTTGTAATTCAATTAAATAATTTAATGGCAATTAAGATGCCTCTTTTGGGGTGGTTGGGTCATAAAAATTGAATTCTTAATAACAAAATTTTGATTAAATAGGTTGGACGCATATCAGGTTAACACATCCGGCTTCCAATTTTGGTTTTGAATTTTTCTTGTGAATCAACTCCATAAAAACAGAACTCCCACCCACCCACTCTCGCTCTACATTTCACAATTCTTCAAATTTTGAAGATAGAATTTGTGCATTCCCCCTATCAGCTACTATACCTTTCCGTTTCTATCACTCCCCTCCCTTTCTGTGTAGATTTGACAATATTCATGGCCTTTATTTCTCTCTATTTATGTATCTCTTTCTTCCCTCCCTCCCTCTCTATACCATGCATTGTTTATTGAAATATTGTTTGTTCATGGCTTATACTAATTCATCGTCCAGGTACTCTTCCAATCCACCACTTCATCGGCAACCACACATGGGGATCTACTCAATTTTAGTACTGCGAAGGTATACCTTTGTGTCACAGGTAGAACTGCTTACTAAAAATTATCACACGCTGATTAACCCTAATTAAGGCATAATTTAATAGGTAAATTGTGTTAGTTGAATAAAGTTAAACTAGTCAAAATAAATCAAATTAGAATTAGTGTGTGAATAAAGGATAATGCAGTAATTGTTGTTCCTTTCAGGATTTNATTTAGGTTGGGGGGTGTGATTAACCCTAATTAAGGCATAATTTAATAGGTAAATTGTGTTAGTTGAATAAAGTTAAACTAGTCAAAATAAATCAAATTAGAATTAGTGTGTGAATAAAGGATAATGCAGTAATTGTTGTTCCTTTCAGGATTTTGTGCATCAAAGCTACAAACTACTGGGGAGCCAATTGCATTAAAGCTACAAACTACTGGGGTACCAATTATCAAAGCTCAAAACAAAGGAGGATCAAAGAATTCAAGGCCACCTAACAAGATTTTCAAGTCCA